TGCATACATACCAGGTACATACAGACAGGGTAACTGCAAAGACTCCCTTTTGTGCTTCGCACACGGGAGTCAAAAATGGTAAAGAATAATCCAGGGAAATTACATTTTAGAAACTGTAAAACAACTAGATGACACAATTCACTGCAAAATTTAATGTCAAGACGTAAAAGGCCCTCTAACCGAATGAAGAGCATTACGAGGGTAATATGCGCATGAGTCTCTACACACGGTGCAGCAATGGCGGAAAATTTGAGTCTGAGAGCTTTTCAGATCATTCAATGTTCCATTTTTTATCACTGTAAAAACGTCTTTTTTTTCTTTTAATTTGTAAAAAGCCCTTTTTATTTCCCGTAAAACTGTACCAGCTACCCCCCTCAAATACCAAGGAGAATTTTATCCTAATTTATCTTTGTGATCAAGAACACAACGGAGAGCATGGATTCAGCAATAAAATACATTCAATTGAGAATCTAAAATGAAATAAGATTATATTTTACCTACATTTCACATGCTACATGTCTCATAAATTTAATATTTTTGACATAATTGTATTACATTAGCAAATTTCAAATAGTTTCCCATAAGAACTTAAGTGCTTGCATCTGGATTTTCTTTTGAAAAATTTGTAGTATTCCATCACATCCAACGAAATGATACCCTATGCATAGACTCTAGAGAATGGAAAACTTACAAATGCAAATCTATTTTCAAAAATAAAAGTAAATTTTTAAGTGCAAATGCATTTTCAAAAGTAAAAGTAACATTGCAAATGTCAATCTATTTTTAAAGAAAAAGTGAAGTGAAATTACAAATGTATAAATTGCCTTTTGATTTGTAATTGACATTTTTACTTGTGTTTTAAGTTTGTTATCAATTTTAATCATATAGATCTACATCTACACACACTTCCACTTCGTGAGAGGATCCTTTGAACTTTGAACATTACCACCCATTCACAACCATCTACATTGTCTCCTTTCTCAACTCCAAAGCACAATCCGGTATTAAATATTCTGATGGAGTTCACTGAAGTAGACATTACTTCACGGAACTCCATCAATTTTTAGTTATGGTTTCCAATATTCTGGGCACAGTACCTCCAATCTAGTGTCTTGGGTTAGAATTACTACCTAATTATTGAGTTCTTGGTGTTGGCTGGTCCCCGCCTCTACGCAATCACGTCCAGCCGGGGTCACGTGATCTGACGCGCAGTTCAGCGAAGTTCTTGGTGGAAGTGCGCCGCTATATCTCGGCAGTAAGGTATTGTCTCGCGAGATTTCAGCTAAATTGAGCATGCGCATAAGTATTTAAGTTTACAGGACGAATTTTCACTGGTGAGTCAAATGGTCTAGTATTTTGTTTGCTTTATTGTAATCTTTTAGACATTTCCAAGGCGAAGCGTGCTATAACTATGATCTCTGAATATAATGTTGACAATAACAGCATACTTGCGTGGAAAACATGCAATTTCTTTGTGGCGATGTTTTTTGTTGTTCCGGCAATGTGTGCGAAATTGAAAGAACGCCCATAATTTTCACACAAGCGATCACAGACGACGTTATTTCGTTTGATGTGTAATTGATATATATTTAACATAGTTATTTGTCGAAAAGTTCGGCTGATTAAGTCATTTTTATTATAATTTTACTGTTAAAGTGTTTAAAAGAGTTTTTTGTTGTTTTACTAACGCAGTCGTTCGACGCGACGCCATTTTTATTTTCCGCCTTGATGGCGCTATGAATATCAGAGAGTACATGAACTAATGCTGGTTCATTTGATTTTATTGCTCCGCATAAAAAATGAAACTGTAATTGTGCAATGCCAGCGTTTGTGTACAATCCTAATATTGTATGTTGCACTTAGGTATATGATTTAATAGTATACATTTTTTCCTCTTCAAATTATAATAGAACTTGATAGAATGTTTGGTTTGTGATGTAATACATGTTGTAGTTGTAATCTTGGCTCTTGCATATTTCGATATTTTGACCAGTTTAGATATTATGTAGGTGGTCAGCTCAAAATAATATAGTTTTATAATCAATTTAACTAATATTGACACATTTTTCGCACATGACCAGATGTTGCCAGGTGTGAATTATAAGACAGTGATTCGTAAAGTTCTTGAGGTATATTTGCATTTTTACAATCTTTAAATGTACAATAAAACTTGGTGATATGATCTTTCTCCAGAGTGAATGATTTTGTGTTCTGCGATGTCTCATGCACACCTTATATTCCATTATAATATGTACTGTAAAATTTTTATTTTAGCTTGAGTTAATTTTGCCTAAAATTAAGACATTTTTTATCGAGTTGATTTTCACAGATTTTTTTGGAAGTACAGTAGTATAAAAGCCAAACTAAATATAATATAATAGCCAAAAATAAATTCTGATTATATTTCCATTATAGATAAAGCAAAATGAGTCGATACAGATCATATTCAAGATCTCCATCGAGATCTCGTTCCAGAAGTCCAAGAAGAGACTCCAGTAGATCAAGTCGCTCATACCGAGGAGGAGGTAGTTCACGTCGAGACGATGACAATTGTAGCAGAGTGCATGTTGGTGATCTTGGTATTGATTGTTCAAGGAGGGAAATTGAAAAAGCTTTTGCGAAATATGGAAAGCTTTATGAAGTATGGGTGGCTAGAAACCCGCCCTGTTTTGCATTTGTTGTATTTAAGCGTTCATCAGATGCTGAAGAAGCAGTCCATGATATGGATGGAAGGTATTATAAATGCTCTAAATACAAAAGTCCACCTTACACCTGTTGCTAATATTTTGTTGAATTTGTGGCATACAAGTATTTCAATATTCAAAATTGTGCAGCTCATTTATGTTCAAATGGATTGGAATTGAAATGCAAATTGTTTTTCTATTTTCTATAGAATGTTGTGTGGTGGTCGGGTCAGAGTAAGCTTGGCACGTCCACGTACCCAAGGACGTGGTCGAAGAGGTTATGATCCTAATTTGAGGTGTTATCAGTGTGGTGAACGTGGTCACTTCTCCAGAGATTGTCGTTATTACTCTCGAAGTTACAAGCGATACGAGTAAGTACTTTTTCATTTGCAATTGGAAATTTGATAATACATTTTTATATAATTTCCGCGGGACAATATTGTCAAATTTCATATTTATCTATGGATATAAATGCATCTTTGAGTTTCCAGCTAAATGTGATTTTGATATTTGGATATCCTAAACTGTGTAAGTTTGTGTCTATTATCATTGTGTATTTTTTTCTTCCGGTAATTTGGAGAACTATTTTTGTAATTATTCCCTCTGACACCTAATTTTACTGCTACTACATGCCAGGCTGTCTTGATATGGCTTGTTGTTATGGTAATTGGTTACTATGGTAACAGTGGTTTGTGGAACAGGTTAAGAATGGTGATGATCATGATGTAGGAACTAGATAGGGGTTGGTGTATTGGTATTGAATGGTATATAATCTCTCGTATGGCTCACAATGTGTATATGGTTTAATGGTAAAAGTCCAGTGGTAGTATTGCATTACTTAGGGCTGAACAATATCATCTCCCTTTGAGTCTACGACTCAAATGAAATGAAACAATTGTCATTTCGTGTGATGCATCTTAACACGTAAATGGCAAGGTGATAAAGCGTTAAAGTCTTTTTGTCACGGTAAGTACAAATTCTGTGGTCGCCCCATAATGTGAATTTATGCACTAATTCCTGTTTGTACCTGTCTTTCACCCGCATCTTTATCTCCTTTCATTCCAAACTAACCAGTCACCTTCATTTCACTGCAGAGACAATCTGCAGTATCTGGTTACTGATATATGCCACAAGTAGTTTCTCCTCCATAGACTAACCCGTAGTGCTAACCATTTGTATTTGTAATTATTACTGTCACTCATTCCTGCATTCCTTTACTCTCATTTACTTAGTCTCATTTACCATATTCTGATAGTTCACTATTAATGGGGTTACTCTCTTTTAAATCATTTGCAAATTGTCATCTCTGGACTTGGATTTGTCTGAAAGAATAGACCTTTGATGCAAATATCTCAGCGTGTCACAAGTTTTGTTTCTCCCTGCAAATAGTGTTCTATTGTCTTCTGTCAACCATTGTTTCGAACACTAAAATTAGGTCATGTGGACATGACACAAAAAGAATGCAACACTATTTCAGGGACGAAAACAACTTTTTGTGGCTATTATGTTGTCAACAAGATCAGCTGTTTGTGTCAAAGGTCTACTAAGTTTGAGTATTTTTTTACTGCATTTTAGACAAATCATTGGCTTAGCTATCATAATTGAAAGAGCATTAATTATGTGTAAAATATTCAGTTTTTGATTTCCATGAAGTGTATTGGATTGGAATCTAAAAGTGCATTAAACATAGGTAACTTATCATGTTCAAATTAAGTGACTTGCTGAAATTGGCAATCATACGTAATGCATGATGTAACACTATTAGTATTAGTCAATTTGATGACCATTGTATACAGACAGATCTGGCCCGATTAAATCATGCCATACAAAAATAATAAAACAAATATTACCGGTAAATCATTTAAGACATGTTTTTCACTTGATGTCAGTCTCAGAGAATGTTTATATTCCCTTTATTGAGTTTATAGAATCCTGTTTGGGATACACATTTCCTTTCAAATACAATGAAACTTTATCTAGCTTAAACACTTTCAAGTTACTAGTTGCTTGTACAAAAAGTTCTATTGATACTGAAAAATACCTTTGTACTGTTGAGAATATAGAAATGTAGAGCACTGTAGAATGAACAATATTGATTACATCATTGTGACAATGGTGCGTGTACGAGTCACTGGTATAATTATGTGTCAAGTCTTTTATAGTGCTGCTCATGTGTACTCCAAATCAGGAGAATGGTTCCATTCAGTGAACTGAGTGGGAATTCATTGAAAGAATCAAAAATACAGGTCAATGTATTTTGTTATGTTACCAGATGTGGTGAGTTATTTTTTGCGTTTTATTGCTACGCTGATGTTCACATATTATTCTCTGCTCTGTTGTGACAGCTCTCGTTCCCGTTCTCGTTCTCGTTCTAGACCTCCTCGTAATAGTAGAAGCAGGAGTCGCAGTCCAAGTCGCAAAAGGTACACTTATATGAACTATTCATTTCTTTGTTGACATCAATCTAAGTCTATAGTTACATTAAACTATTTAAGCCTTAGTTGTTCAGTCATAGCTAGCGGAGTTTGCATACACATGCTCACACACGTACACACACATGCATTAGATGGCTGACAAGGATCAAGATGATTGTTCAGTGGTAGTACATGTAGCTGCTCTCTGGACTTGCACAACACTAATGAAAATCAGTCAACTTACTTGAATTACAAGCATCATCAGAAATGTCAGTGTAGTTTTCTTACCAATTTCAATTTGTTGAGTTACAGGAGGTACACAGAGTCCAGATCACGATCTCGGTCCTTTACTCCCAAGAAAGAGGATTCCCGTAGGAGCAAGCGAAGGTAGTTAGTTGTAAACTAATAGTAGAGCCATTAGAAAAAGAATATATCACTTGCTTTAGGTTTTCTTTTCATTCTATACTGGCCTTAAAACTATGTGACCTGCATTTATATTTGTTACAGAAATTAATCCACAATAAAAGCTTTTATTGTTATTCTGCAGTGAAGAAGAAAGAGAACGTTAGACTGCTTTAGATATTTTGGGGTGTAGAGTCTCAAATTTGATACTTTTGGATTGTATACTTAAATGTTCAACTTAATTTGTGATAACGCATGAACTCGGCTGCTCTTTCTTGTAAGCAAAACCGTACTTGGGCAAACGTGTTATTACATGGCCTATATTGTGAAGCTATGATTTTGTTATTTACGAGTACATGTTGTAAAAACAAAATGAGTGGTTCTGTATGATCATCCCTGATTCTTTTATATAGTAGAAGCTCCATTTCCGCCATAGAATGATTCATCCTCCAATCACTAAAAAATAACGGTGAAAAACACTTTCACCACAATATCCTTGTTGTCAGACACAGTCTCAGTATGAAAACTCTAACGTAACTATTTGGTTTTTCTTTCATTTCAGAAGTGATTCAGGATCACCAAGAAGAGATACCAGCCCTTCTCGAAGGTTGGCTGAAATAGAAAAGTCTGGTGTTATAATAGATTCAGCCTGATCATAATCATCTAATATCAAACGCAGGTCTATAAGTCAGTATAATGATGTGCTGTTGCTAGCTAGCATGCTTTATTAATACTAGTCCATGTACATATTGTTATTATCACATTAACTTGTACATTCCATAATCACAAAATGTTTTCAGTGTTCCATTTGGCTTTACAATTCTCAGGCCCTTGAATACAAATGTACACAACACATTATTTTCACTCCATGTTTTGCTTATTTGCAAAAGATAAAAATAAGCATTGAATGCAGAACAGCTCTTATGGTGTTCAAGTTGACTGAGAAATATTCGCGACCATTATAAAGGCCCATTATTCTTTTACAAGGCCTATTTTGTATTGCAAAGCATCAAGTGAGTTGAGTTTCCACATCATTTACACCAAAACAAATACGTATTCAAGATACTGGGATTCTGTAGTTAACCATGTAAATCAGTACCATCAATCGTTTGTTTCTTCTTCATAAATAATTATTTCATTCACAAGCTGTTCCATTTGCACACTATTCACTGCATAGAAACATGTGGTGCTGACATTATTTGATATGCTGCAGGTGTACAGGTTCATTTAGTAGACACCCCCTCCCTCCCCCTCCCAATTTCTTTGTTGATTCCTAAAGGATTCTTTTTTTTTCTCCCAGATCACCAAGATCACGTGCATCACATACATCTTTGGTTGAAGAAACGTATGGATAATCTTACTATAGCCTGATATTTTTTTCTATCTCTCAATTGGAGAGAGTTTATTGGTTGGAGGGTATGCGCTAATATGGGATAGTTGGTCATATATACTCCTGACTGATTGATGGATAATAAACAAGACCATAGTGTACATTGATAACTTATCATTTTGCAACAGGTGCCAAAATAAACTGATAAGTAAAACCATTCCAGTAACGTTGCCATTGTCTTCACGACTTTGCCTCCAACCATTGGAAATTAACTTAAGTACACTCATTTGCATATCAAAAGTCACACTTTTATTTGATGGGGGGGGGGGGGTTATTTTGAAATGAAATTGTATGCTTGTGATAAAATAATACTTTACCATTTTTACATTTCATGCAATTATTCTTTCAGATTGGCCCTGTTCTGATTGAAAGTCCTGAATTTAACTCTGCTGGTGATGTTTCTAGAACACTGCAGCACAGCAAAAGAGATAGTGGTTCCCTAGATCAGTTTATTTTGGCACCCACTATATCGCCTCAATTGTCATGTAGTTCAGTTTTCTCTCAACTTGCATTGTTAGATGTAGCTTAGCAATGTTTCATTTACACTTTTAGAAACAGGCGCATGTGTAAGCCAATATACACAGTCATCTAATGACAAAAAGAAATAAAATAATCAATGAATCTATAATTATTGGAATTTCATGATATCAAACGTTGACAATACTGTATCTGTCCTACCAATTTGTATGTGAAATTTATATCATAGTAGTCCAGCAAACAAGGAACACAAAATTGGAGAATATCCTCATGGAAATGTGATGCAGATGCAGTCTGAATTTTTTTTATTCTACGATGGAATCACAATTTTGTTTTCGTTAATTTTTATTAGTTAATTTTTGAATATTTTGTTTAAGTGGAAGATACATAAAAGATAGAATGTTAGATCATAGTTAGTGTAAACTAGTGGCTGTACTGCTGTCTTTTTGAAAATAACTAGATTCTTACCTTTATTTAAAGTTGTATTTACTTTGTAGTCAGCAATGTTAAATTACCTTTTATGTTAGTAATTTTTACTGTGATTAAGTTAAACTTAACCAGTATGCGACTTTTCAGCATCAACAAAGTGGCCATTAACAGACTTTTTGATGTTAAACTTAATACGTGTATGTCTTGGCTGCAACCAAGTGAAATAAATGTTTTTTTTCCCCCTCTAGACTTGTATTGTTTTATATTTGTACGCATATATGAAATCCAACAGCACATGTTTTAGAGTGGGTTTACTGATAGTTTAATATCGGAACGATTGCACATTATCCAATTTATAATACATGAACTGCACCTGGAAATTGTACTAGCTAATCATGTTCAACTGATTGTGCTGGTGCTGATGTTCACTCGTTCCAGGCTTCCTTTTTGACTCCCGTGTGCGAAGCACAAAAAGGGAGTCTTTGCAGTTAGTGTGTA